TAGTTTTTAGATTTATTTTCTTTCAAGTGTATGAGTGCTTTGCCTGCATGTGGGCATGTGCATTATAGGCATGCAGTGTCTATGGAGGTAAGAAGATGGCTTCTGATCCTCGGGAGCTGAGTTACAGAAGTTTGGGAGTCATCATGTAGGTGCTGGAAATGGAATCCTGGTCATCTACAAGAGCATCAAGTGCTCTCTTAACTGCTGACCCATCTCTTCAGCTTCTCTTACCTTTTCTTGTACTTATTTAGTCTGAAAAAAATTCAGACTTTTCCTAAAGTTACTCTCATGGACTGTATAAAATAGTGCTACATACACATCATTTATATAAGTTTACAAGTTCTACAAGGTTCCCTTCTCTTAAATACATCTGTCAAATGAAGTCTGTTCACATGCAATGCAGTTGTGAGTCTCTTACCTGGTTCCTGTGTGGGGGACACTATGACTTCCAGGCAGCTGTGTGCTTAGCGCCAGCCTGCTGTCTTCTTGTCAGCACTCTCCTCACAATGCCAGCATTTGCTTGGCAGTGGTGTTTGTACTGTGTTATGATTTAGCCAAGAACAGTGAACCCTTTCCTTTCCTTTCAAAAAGCATTTTAACGGTTAACATTCCTGTTCACTGCAACCAAGTTACTGTGGCAGCATTTACTTCTGTTGTTTTGCCTCTCACATAAGATCAGTCACAGGTTTAGTTTCCTGTTGTCCACAGTCTTTCCCAGTTTTCCCTGTAAAGGACATCTGTGTGCCTGTCACAGGTTTAGTTTCCCGTTGTCCACAGTCTTTCCCAGTTTTCCCTGTAAAGGACATCTGTGTGCCTGTCACAGGTTTAGTTTCCCATTGTCCACAGTCTTTCCCAGTTTTCCCTGTAAAGGACATCTGTGTGCCTGTCACAGGTTTAGTTTCCCATTGTCCACAGTCATTCCCAGTTTTCCCTGTAAAGAACATCTGTGTGCCTGTCTTAGGATATCTGTTCAATCAAAGGACCTACAGTAGCATTATCACTTGTTTCCTGGACATCTGTGTTTAAAGAAGAACTTTAAGGGAAAAGAAAGAAATTATTGATCATACTCTTGCATTTAGTATAAAATTGGAAGATAGCTTTCATTTCAAAACAATATAAGTACATCGTTTTAGTGGCTGTATTTTCCACAGTGTGTATTTGATCTACATGTTATTTTTTCAATAAGACATACCTTGTGGTAACCATTGCTTACAAAGTCATCTTCTCTCCACTGTCCTCAAATTACCATATAACTAAATTCATTTCTATAAATCCATAGAGATTCTATTGCTATATTTTTGTGGGGCTTATTGATTTTTATTTTTATGTGCCTGTAGCATCTGCTTATGGATATTGTACCCCATAATAAGTTGGAAGGATAGGAGTCCATCATGTCTTTATCTTAAAACAGCTGACTATTCTGAAACACTTGATCTTTAATTATACTTCCCAATTACTTTGTCAAGTTTTATACCACAACATTGATGCTTTGTTTCTACTTCAGTTGATGACTTGGGAAAATTGCATTCCACATAAAAGTTTCTAATTCAGGATTGTGGTGTGTTTTCTTTAAAAAAAAAAATCTCCCTTTAAATATAAATCTCATTTTTATATCATAATAACAATGCTTAATCATTGTTGTAAACATGAAGTGACATTAATAATTATCCATTTCTCTTCCCCTGTGCTCTCAGACAGTGAATACTGAGTTAATCATATTGTTGTTACTTTGTCTTTTTACACACTGTTGGGCCAAGGACAGTAGAGGCTGGGAATGACTGTCTATGGTTTCATAATGCCCACTGAGGTCCTACAAAGGCCAGGGATGCTGTTCTTCTCTGACTTGAGGATCCAGGTTCCTTCAGTACTGTAACTTTCTTTTTAGGCCTTGACCTCTTTCAGACTGTGTTTAATGGTGTCAGAAAGTTCTAAACATCTGTGTTGTTTTTACAAATATAGTCATATTTTGTATATTTTGCTTACTCTTACTTCCAGGCTATATTCCTTAAGAATAAATAGGTTTTATTTATACTTGTAACCCTAATATAATACACCAGACATTATTGTTTTAAAACTTTGTTGAATCAACAGAGTGAAAAACATATATTTTTTTTTTTTTGGTTTTTCAAGACAGAGTTTCTCTGTGTAGCTTTGCGCCTTTCCTGGAACTCACTTGGTAGCCCAGGCTGGCCTCGAACTCACAGAGATCCACCTGGCTCTTCCTTCCGAGTGCTGGGATTAAAGGTGTGCGCCACCACCACCCGGCATAAATTCTTGAAAAAGGGTTTTAATGAACCTATCAATCAAAATTGTATGTTTCAAGTAATTTAAATTTAGTGTATACTACTATAATAATTGATTTTAAAAAAGGAAAATCCTAACAAGTTATTCTAAAAAAGAAACAAGGTCCCTGCAAGACAGCTCAGTAGGAAAAGGTGCATCTCTGTAAGCTTGACAACCTGAGTTTGATTGGAACTCATGAAAAAGCAGGAGAGAAGTGACTCCATGATGTTGTGCTCTCCTTCCATTCAGACTTGGACTGGAGTGCTTGCATACACTGATGGCAATGATGATGGTGACAGTGATGATGTACATGTTTTTAGAAACAATTTTTTTAAAAGATTTATTTATTTATTATTTATACAGTGTTCTGTCTGCATGTATGCCTGCAGGCCAGAAGAGGGCACCAGATCTCATTACAGATGGTTGTGAGCCACCATGTGGTTGCTGGGAATTGAATTCAGAACCTTTGGAGGATCAGCCAGTGTTCTTAACCTCTGAGCCATCTCTCCAGCCCTAGAAACAATTTTTTTGAGACAGGTTTCTTGTAGCCCAGGCTGGCCTTGGACTTTCAGTGTAGCCAAGGGTGACACTGAATTCCTAGTCTTGCCTCTATATCTCAGATACTGTTGTTTTGGGCACTAGCTGTCATGCCTAGCTGAAACAGGCAAATCTTGAAAGCATTTTCTTGCTTTTCTTACATCTAATCTTTTCCTTATCTGTGGTGATATTTTATTTGTGCTGAAATGTGATATTTTATTTGTATGTTAATAAATAAAGTTTGCCTGGAGATCAGAGGTCATAGCGAACCATAAACAGAAGTCAGGCAGTGGTAACACACTCCCTTAATCTGATCACATGGCAGGCAGAGTCTGTGTGTTCAAGGACACAACCAAGCTTGGTGACACACGCCTTTAATCCCAGTACCGACCATAGAGACCTGGAGGTCTGTATAGACAGGCAGTGACAAGGAAGTGATGTGGCTGGGCTTAGAGCCAATGAGAAGGCAGAACAGGAAGGCAATTAAGGCACAGGTTAGACAGGAAGAAGCTCTCTTGGGAAGCTATGGCAAGGTGGTAAGCTAAGGTTAGTTGGCAGCTATTGCTCTGATCTCTGCGGCTATTACTCCTGTATTTGGCTCTGTGTTTCTTATTTAATAAGACTGTTTAGAAATTTGCCTACACTTATCTGTTTCTAATATTTCTACTTAAAAATATTACTGTGTGTATGTGTGTGCACATGGTGTGTTGTGTCTGTGTGTCTGTCTCTTTCTCTCTCTCTCTCTCTCTCTCTCTCTCTCTCTGTATGATGTATATATCTGTGTTGAAATGATCCCAGTATGTATGTGTGTTTCTGTGTGTATGTGCATGAGGTGTATGTGTCTGCTCCTCAACTTTAGATGAATGAGGAACAGACTTCTGTTAAAATGACCCACTGTGTGTGTATCTGTGAGTATGTGTATGTACGTGTATGTGTGTGTATGTGTGGGAGTCAATGTGCCATGGTATATTTGGAGGTTGGAGTATAACTTTGTGGAGTTAGTTCTTTCCTTCTACCTTTACACAAGTTCCAAGAATTGAACTCAAATGCCTTCACTCATTGACCCATCTCAATGGCTGGCCTGCTTATAATGTTTAAAAGTTTTATCTTTAGTGTGTCTGTGTATACATTCATACATGTATACATGTGCGCTTGTGCTTGTGTGCATGTGTGTGTGTGCTATGTGAATGCTCAGGTGCCTGTGGAGGCCAGAAGAAGGCTTTGGAACCCATGGAGTTAGAGTTACAGTAGTTGTGAACTGCTTGATGTGAGTGCTGGGATCACAGCAAGTACTCCCAGTGTGTTTCAAGCCCACGAAGCCCATTTCTAATTTTTAATCCATGGACATTTCCACATATACAATTCAGTGTTACATCTGTAAACCTGTGGGACTCATACCAACTATTTTTAGAACAGAGACAATTCTTCAAACATAGACTAAAGAAAAACAATTATATGAAATATAGGACTAATATGTAGAAAAAGGAAACATTTAGACACATCATATTTTAGAAAGTACATTTGTTTGTGGGAAAATTTTCTCATTTAAAGTCAATCAGTTTAGTTTCCTTTTTAAGTTTGTGTGGTCACAAATGTTTCTTTTTTGCTTTTATATTGGCTCTAGGAGAATATTCTTTAGTGCTTCCAAAAGTACAGTAAGCAAAATGAACATTTTAAAAATGAAGCTGGGGGAGCTGGAGAGATGGCACAGGGGTTGAGAGCACTGGCTGCTCTTGCAGAGGACACGGGTTCAATTACCAGCACCCACATGGCAGCTCACAACTGTCTGTAACTCCAGTTCCAGGAGATCTGACTCCCTCACACCAATGCACATAAAGTAAAATTAAATTAATTATTAAAAAAAAACGAAGCGGGGCATAATGATATATATGTGGAATCCCAGAGATTTGCTACTAAGAAGGCTGAGCAAGGCAGGAAGATCTCAAAGTTTCAACTTGGGCAACATAACAAATTATCTCAAAACAGAAAGAGAAAAAGAAGGAAGTGATACGGTTTAACCTTAAATGCATTTTAAATTTGTTAGAACTCTGGTTTGCTTATTTATGGCTTTGGATCCTATTGTCTTGAAAATAAGTCTGTGTTTGTGGCCCCTGACCATCACTTCATCCTAACTGTACTCTGCTCTTCTGGACTGTGAAAAAATGAGGAATAGACATTTGTTAAAATGACCACAGTGTACTTTATTTAATGATTTTGGTACCTTGTGTTGCAATAAAATAAAAAAAACTCTACAAAATCCAAATATATAAAATTTCAAGTTTTCTTTTTTTAAAGTTTTACAAGAAAAAAATCAGATAACCCAGGAAATTTATTCATTATGAAGTACTACTTTCCACTTCATTTCATCACAAATTTCAACTTACTCAACTGACCAAAATAACTATGGTACTGCAGTATATCAAATACTCCACACACTGTGCTTTGAGATAGAGCACTTGGAGTCACTGCCCAGGACAGCAGCTCCTGTCAAGAAAGACACACTTACAATCTGAATGCTAAAGGAATGTCTGGATATGCGGGATTGGAATATGTATATCTTTATATATATATTTACAGGAAAGAATTTAATAACTCATTTAATTCTTTTTTCCAAATAAAATTCCAAATACATTTGTACAATGTTTACAAAGTAAGAGCACAGGACCGGCAGGTTTGCATCCGAGGCCAGGCACCGTGCTGTCGGGGGAAATGTCTTCACGTTGCCTGCACACACCTTATTTCTGAAGTGGAGAGGAAAACACAAAAATGGCGACTGCATCAGAATACCATGTAAGCTGAGGCTGGGGGCTGACAACCCAGTGGCCCGTTCTTTTCAGTTGTTCTTCATCTACCACCATTGCTTTTTTTTTTTCCAGCGATAAATTTAAAAAACAAAAATTGGACAGAGGGGGGAAAAAAGCACAAGATATTTAAGGCAAATTAAGCAAATATATACAACCTCCCTTTATGTTGGGTAGAAGTGAAGTGTTTTTTTTTTTTTTAAAACCCAAACTATGCTCAGAAACAAACCAAATAAAATAGAACTGATGGAAGTTGAGTTGCTTATGCATTTTACAATTTCTGAAAATTGTTTCACACCAAATAACATTTCGAAATTTTCAATGAAATAATTTATTAATTGTGAAGTGAATGGTATGTGTTTCTAAATCAAACAACAGTAGCTGAGGTAGTTAAATGTGAAACTTACACAACAAAATAATGAGAGAATGAAGAACCGAAGTCAGGACCCCAAGGCCTTGTCGTTTGGAAGCAGGTTCGCTTTGTGCAATGGCTTCATGCACGGCACTGCAACTGTCCTCTTGGACTCCATCGGCTCAGCCAGAGTGTCAGCATGACCAGTGCCTTCCCTAGCACTTGCTTAGAAGCAAACACAGAGGAAGCCTGCTTCCCAGTGTTCCCATTTGTAACTAATTATTTCACAGTATGTATATTGAAGCCATTATACAAAATAGCATTATTTATCATCACTGTAAATTCCAATCCTAACTTTAGAGAATGAGGGAGAGTGGTAACCAAAAGAAGGGCTAGTATTCTCTCACATTAGCTCTAAATCCAAGCTCTAAATCCTCTTGGCTTCCAAGAGGACCTGGTTTCCTATTGACTCTCTTTCTTCTAAGAACAGGAAGTCATCTTCACATCCATCACTGTGTCTGTTTGAGGCTACTGAGCTATCTGGCTACTGAGAAGAAAAGCAGGAATTTTTTCTTTTATCTATCTTTCTTTCTTTCCTTCCTTCCTTCCTTCCTTCCTCCCTCCCTCCCTCCCTCCCTCCCTCCCTTCCTTCCTTCCTTCCTTCCTTCCTTTTTAAAACAGAAGCAAGATTCCTATCAAAGTCAACCATGTTCTTCTCCATTGTCCCTCATTGATCAGAGAAAGGCTTAAATAAACAATTGACCAAAGTGTTTATGAAAAAAGTTTTGTGACAGTAATATATTAGTGATATAGTTGTCATAAATAATCTGGGAGATATTTCTTTGAAGCAGTAGAGAATTTATCTCTGTGTGTCCACGTTTATCATTTGTTTGTTGAAAAGAATGTTAGCCAGATGTAGCCATCAAACTTGGCAGTTGTATTTACAACTAATCAGAAATGTGATGCTTACCAAACGATGGGCCTATAGCCCATCTGTGCTGAAGGCTGCATTGCTGGCACTTGTGCTTTTCCTGGCTGGTGAAAACTCTGAGCCAGTACTTCAAGGAGCTGTCCAGCGCTGACATGCTTAGATTCTGTTTTGCACTTTGTGATAAAACCTCTCCATAGCATGTTATCTCCCCCGCCTCTTGCTAATCCTAGCAAATGTATCTGAAACTTGACCCAATAGTCAACTTCAGTTTTCTGTATAAAACGGAATAAAAACAGATGTTCATTTTCATGATAAAAAGGGTATACTTTTGCATTTTGGGTAGAAAAATATTGATATCAGAAGGGGATAGAAGTTGAGAAATATCCAAATTACCTTTATCTCATGCATTGTATTTATATGACCAGTCTGTGGTAACAGTCTATTCTGGCAGTGCAGAAATTTTTAAGGTATCACACAATTTTTTATGGTATAGTCATGCTTCAGAAAGCCTAATGCCATGCATTAGTAATGTTTAACCAATTTGAAAATTTAAATCTTTGATTAAGTCCATTGGGAAATAAATTTTAGAGTCCAGAAGAGATTATATCAGATGTCAATATGGTATGTAATTCAAGCACAATGCGATTTTAAATTTACTTCTCAAGGGAAAATTTGGAAACCATTTCAGTTTTTAAGACTATAAAAATTATTTTGTAAATGAATACAATTGTTAAACATAGGTACTAAATGGAAGCGCATCATTAAAATATTACTCCTATTCTTCATATTGCCCCTATGACTCAAAAATTACAAAAGTTTGTAACTCCAAATCATATTATTTGCATTTACTTCTCCTTAAGTTTAATCATTTAAGCAAGGGACCGCACATTGCTTTGGCAGAGTTGTACAGGATTTTCACTGAAGCTGTTTTGCCTACCATCTTCCTGCCTTTTTTAACCTTTTGTGGAACTCACTCTGTATATTGCATTTATGCAAGTCCACACACTTTGATATGTTGCTGAAGCCATTGTACAGGCAGTTCTCTGAAATATTTGAAATACATTTCTAATGTGAAGACAAATTTCCTTGAGAGTTCTGAGCAGAAAGAAGGCTTCACATTTTTTCTGTTGCAGAGGTGTTGTGTTAGAAATGAAATGTGAACCCAGTTAAATCATTCCAACTCCAATCTTAATAATATCATCATCCAGAAGTGGTTTCCAGAATGTCAGTTGGCATCACCGGTACTGAATTAGAGACTGTACATGATTCTGGAAAATGGGGGCAGTCATGCAAACTCCTCAGGGATCAGAAGGGGCCAGATTTTCTAGATGTATTTATAAACATGTAGAACAATTCAGTTTGATTAAGAAGAAAGTGGTCCATCTATATGGAGATACTCCATGACTATACGAGGGGTTACTTTTCTCATTAAAAGCTTAAAATTTCTACCTAGACCTTTAAGGGAGAAGTTTTTCCTATACTAGCTAGAATGGCTGCTGCTTCTCAGACAACTGAGGCACCCACCCTCCTTAGCCCTGTGATGCGCACAGTTCTCCATGTTCCTGCTACTTAACAAGAGGCATGGTGCTCTCTAACTCAAGTGCTTTACCAGCTCTCACATTCTTTACAACACCCTATGAGGTAGGTAAACAAATATATTCACTCTTTTATATGGGGTCAATGAGGCCAAAATAAGTTTTGAGGTAAAGAGATAGAGGAGGGATCAGGACCCAGATGTGTACAGATTGCTAGTTTATTTACCTATGTCACTGGACCACATGCCTTCATGCCACTGTACCCAGAAGGGACTATATTCCATAGTGCAAAAGAATATTGTTTTGGCCAGGCCATGGTGGCACACACCTTTAATCCTAGCACTTGGGAGGCAGAGCCAGGCAGATTTCTGTGAGTTCTGAGGCCAGCCTGGTCTACAGAGCGAGATCCAGGACAGGCACCAAAACTACACAGAGAAACCCTGTCTCAAAAAATATTGTTTCATATAATATCTTTAAACATGTTTAAAACAGCCATAATATTCAACACAGGGATTTCTGCTTTTCTATTAATCTGTACATTTCACATCAATCACCTAATAATCAAAGACCATAAAAGAAGCAGCTTTTTTTGTGTGTGTGACTGCCAATCCATTGTCACCGTCTTGTAATAATAGCCAAACATTCCCTCAGTAACACACAGGTGCAGAGATTGATGATTTAAAATCCCAAGGAAAAAGGAAAAGCCAAAACTTTCAGTGCACTTGTCGTCAGTGTTTAGAGGGTCATGAGCACCTGGGCTGTGGCCACAGCTGTGTTCAGGGTAGGGTCCAAATTAGTTAGCATGGGGGTGGACAAACATTGCTTGGTGGTGAGGTTTAGGTGTTCAGGGAAACTACATCCAGGAAAGGAGAAACTCAAGAGGAATTTCATCATCTGCCTCATGGTGTTATTATTGGCTCTGAATGTAGAATTTTACACAATCAAGATACTACCTAGGTACTTGGGAATGTTTGCACTGTCTTTGGAAATGCCTCAAGATGTTTACATAGCTGAATGCCTCTCCAAGGTCTTTGTTCACCTACAATAAGTGCCTCAGAGCAAGTTATGCCACTAAAGTGCTCTTAAAAGGAAATAGGTTGGACGGCTTATGTGTTTTTCTGCCAAACTTCAGATCAGTCAATAAGGCAAAAACACTCAACTTGAGGACATCTATATCTTCACCACCCAGCAGATCAGAAGGAGCAAGTCCAACTTCCCAAGGTTACCAGGACAAAACAAATCTGGGTCAGTGTGAACATCAGCTCTCCTTTTGGAAGGTAAATTTCCATCATGATCAACATTTCTTTTTTCCCCTCATGGAGAAAAGTGGCAGGGATTAACTGGGGAAATATGTTACAATATTCACAGTAACCAGCAAGCACTTGTTAACTGGAATGATGTTAGCAAACCAAATCCTAATGTTAGGTAATTTGATTTGGGGAAATAGCCTTTTTCCTCCAATTGCAGCCATTAATTTCACCTTGAAGTAATTGTATGAAACAATTTATATAATTTTAGCTTTAAGATATTATAAGGGACACTTAAAATGAAAAGTTCTATCTGAACAATAAAAAGTGGAAGATTTTGTATTTCCCTTAAACCATTTACAAATAGTAGAATAACAATAATAAAATTATGAAACATAGAAGAGGCTAAAAGAAGAAGTTTCCTTTCCTATAGAAAGGCCTCTAAGAACTGCCACTTTAAGGTGCTGCCCATGCAGTTATGTTTAGAATACCCGAGACACAGCCAACCAACCTCTTCCAGTCATGCATTTTCAGAAAGTAAATAAAAATAGACCAAAGTTGCTCTGCATGATTTATTTCTCTTTGTACAACAAAGAGAATGTTAGCAGCAGAATGTCACCAACAAAAGATTACTGCACAAGAAAGTTAAGTTCCACCTGCAGCACCTGAGCAATTTATCTATCTATACACCAGACAACAGGATGGAAAACTGTATACTCCAAACACCTGGACTCTTGCAGAGAGTTTCCAGATGTGTGCTGCTTAAGTGACCAACTTCTTGATTTTTCATGGGATATTTGCATTCATGTGGACAGTCTCTACTTTTTAATAATGCTGCAATGTCTACTTTGGTTTGGTGAAATTTGTTCAGCAGTCATCTGGAAAATTCAAATGTTGAAAGCCAGCAAATAAAAAGAAACTCAGTCATGAGGAAAAGTCAGAACTTTGAGGTGATCAACAGTCTAATGTTTTTTGTATTGGTGGGAAAATTGCATGACCATCCTTTTATTTTCTTCTATTGTTCTGGAAAATCACTTGCACAGGACTTATGAGTCTCTGAATAGGTACATGGAGAAGGTGACTGACTGATAGACTCAAGATCCAAACTGTGTTGCAAAAAAGATGATACTAGTTAAACTGGGTTGAGTGTGTTTGAACACAGACCTGTTGTGGTTGATATATTTACAATGGGATGATGAGTAAGGCCATGGTAACCCTGAATCTCATTGTTATTAAAAGAGAGATAATTAGATAGTTTATGTTTAATAAGTCAGAGTGATTTATAATCCACCTGAAGCTCTTGATGTACAGAGCATTACAAGAGCACTAATCAAGGAGAACCATCAGAGGGCAGGTTTCCTTAGAAAGAGCCAGTCTTGGCATGACGCTTCCTGCATTACCTCCACCTCTCCACATTAGCCAGTTCTTGTCCTTTCATAAGGGGACATGGGCATTGCCATAGTTACAGAATGGCAGAGATTAGTTCATGTGCCTACCTTGTAAAAAGAGAAGTGTTCCTGACAAGTGATGGACAGGTTTTCTTGGGCTTCTACATTGGTAGAAATCTTCTGTCCTGGTACTCAACACTCTTATGGTCACACTTACTCCCGAGCCTTGTTAGAGAGGACTGTTATTGTTCCTGTGTCCCTACAGTTAACCAACTCATTGTACATTACACAGGGGGGTGTAGGTTCAGGAAATGAGGATTTTTCAGCTTGTTAGTTCTGGTTGTCTGACAGGTGAGGGTAAGTCACAGGGTAGGAGAATACCTTTCTGACTGTCATTCAGTTTTAGTGGTTACACCCAGAGATCGTTCTAGAAAAAGACTTGCGTGGGTACCAGCATGGATTCCCAGGAGTGTACTCAGAAGCTCTGGGAACATCCTGATAGAGTCACTGAGATGCTTGTGTGGAGACACAGCAATTTCTCCTTCTCCTTCTCCTTCTCCTTCTCCTCCTCCTCCTCCTCCTCCTCCTCCTTCTTCTTGTTCTCCTCCTTCTCCTTCTCCTCCTCCTTCTTCTTCTTGTTCTCCTCCTCCTCCTTCTCCATCTTTTTCCAGAGTGCTTATTGGATATACTTGATGACTTTCACCCTTTTATTTAGATCTAACTTCTAAAATGGATGCCAAAAGAGTAGATAGAAAGTTTAACAAGGCCACACGCACATCAGACTCTTGAATACTCTATAACTATATCTGAACTCTGACAACTTAATTTTCACCTTTATTTGAAAAAAAGAAAGGGAAGGAATCATGGTTGTAATTTCTCAGTCCACCTGTTTTCTTATAAATGAAAATGTAGGCATTAAGGCCATTTAGTTGGTCATCTTTAAGGTCATAACCAAGATTTGATGTGATCTGAGAAGCCATAGGCTAGTTGGTTCCTTGTTGAAATGGATATTGGTTTGAGACTGGTAGTGTTACCACTTAGGAAAGCAGGCATCAAATCACTCTATAACTACACCCTTGAAACTGAATTATCAATGGAAGTTTTACACATTGGCTATTATCATGCTGACAATGGGATAAATTAAAAGCAGTGATGGTATTCAAGATAGATCAGTTATTAAAAGATGACAGACTCTTTTCATTTCCAAACAAGTGGGTTTCAATCCACTTGAAGCAAGTCCCTTTGACCCATACCCATTTCTCTGAGCTATACAAGCCCCCAGGAATTCATTGGCTAATGTTCTAAAAGCAGTTCTTACTAGAAAAGATAAAGAAAGAGGATGGATACCATGAACACTGATGGCATTCATGTTGAGGGACCAGGTAGAACAATTTCCTTAGCTCTACTTCTCAGAGGCCTGTCTCTTCAAGCTTGGACACATCAGGGCACAGTACTGAACCAAGTGCTCCTTTTCCATTAACTGATTCATGTTCTCTTCCAGTAGCTTGATTACAATATTACAAGTCAAGAATTTGCAAGATTAAAGTGTCTGTTGGATTAATAAACTGCAATTCATCTCCAGTAAAACTTGACAGGTTCCAAGGTGTTTCTGCAAAAGAAGAAGGGGACCAAAGCATGAGCAGTCTGAGCTGTGACAGCTTGGGTTATGTCTGCAGGTCGTGGCTCACTCCACTCCTCAGTTCTCTTTTCACATAGCTCCTGACTTTCAGACCAAGGAAAATGTTTCTCCCCAAGCCTTTGGAGCTGACTTCAGAAACCTACTCCCTTATTATGCACAACACATTCAAAGACTTTGCAAGGGAAGTTGAGTATTTTTGTGTTTTGAAAGCAAGTTCTAAAATGACAATTCTTTCACCGGGTGGCTAGTGTCCTCTGGTTACAGGATGGTGACCCATTTTTTTCTGTTTTTTGAGTAGAATAAAAAATCATGGGGCCTCTATAGAAAGCTATAGGTCAATGTTTAATTGCTGTGTGAACTTCCTGGTGCTCAACACACTCAACTCAAGCACTAGCTTTCTAGCCACAATGGATTGCAGTGTACATGTATGTTAAGACACTTTGCTGGTTTGTATTAAAAATAGGAATTTCTTACAATGATCGAAACTCAAAATATATTTTCAACACACTTAAGAGTATCTTAGAACATACTGATAATGAACTAATTTGAAATAATTAAAAGTGTTGATTGGATCCAACTCTATGCCAGAATGCCACTACAATAGTTAAATTAAATTACCTTAAACACAACATCTCCAATTGTTCCTATTTGCAACAATTGAGGTAAGAATTTGATTAATTCCATTTTAATGCAAATTAAGCAGTAGAGAAAGGAAAGGGCAAACTGGTTTAATTTGGTATATAGAAGTATAATAAAAACATAAACCCTCACTTTTTCTGACATTCTAATAGCAGAGTAGGTGGCAGGCTTCAGTAACAGCACAAAAGAAAACTTTGTGTTGTACCATGCTGCTAATATTTGCTTATTATTTTAATTAATTAACTAATATGATATTAAATGAGATCTTTGTTCTGCGAGCATCTCATCAGTAACTATATGCTTCCGTTGTGTGTCTAAATGTCTAAAAAGTGATAACCAAGGTTGAGTATAATGATGGTGGCTTGAACCTCTGTGGTCAGGATACAGCATCTCTGTTCCCCTCACTCCCATATTAGTCCTCATGCAGGGTCGTATTATGTAGTCACCTCATGTTTGTCACTGTGTTATTTCTAGAGTCATAGGAAAGCCCTAGAAAAGTTCATATTTCTTTACTGTTTTAATGTAGAATTAAGTATAGATGGTGATAAGAGAAATGTCAGCGTGCTACAACAGAACAGGTTTAGAGATGAAGCCTGGCGAATCAGCTAAACAGCTAAGAATCTTTGTGAGTTGCTAGGAAAAATGGCTGTTTTATGCCTGTTTATGATCTAGTGGCTGCAGTCACAAGGATCAAGGGAATCAATAAGGGTTGACTATGTGACACTGATTACAAAACTCGCTTCACCTCAGTTGTTTTATCTATAAAATAATGGGGAGTTCCTTTATTATTCTATTAAAATTACTGACCTCTGATTTAACAATTTCTTCAAAACCTGCTTAACTTAAAGCAGGGAGGTAAGATGTTGCTTGGGATTTGCCACTGAAACTGAACATTGGCTAGATTTTAAAAAACCATAGCAGAGTTGGGAAACTGTTTGGTTCATTATCTGCTACTTTTTCAGCATCTATTCAAGCAACACACACACAGTTCCTATGTAATGCATGTTCTTATGCACTGGCTAAGATGGGTGGGTTAGCACTCTGCCTTTGAACATGCTTTAGAATTCAGTAAATATTTCATGAACACTTGGTATATCCTTTGAATATAATTCTTCAATTTAAGATAATGTTTCTAATGCTTTAAAAAATCCCCTTAAAGTTCTGTGGCATAAAATATTAAACAAAATTTTGTAAAAAATAAGGCAATGGAAATGAATGACCTTATAGTATGAAAATAAGTCATTTCAAAGTCTTTTTCACTAAGCAGTTTTGACAAGTTATTTTTCAGTCTGCCTAGTTGGATAAACATGTGAGGCGTAGATAGACTACAAAAAAAGAAGCCTCAGGGAGACTTTATAGTTTACACACTACTGCCTAAATGGGAAAACAACACTAATCTACACACAATGAGTTAGAGTTGAAGTAATATTCAGGTTTATATGATAGAGACTTCCATATCTCACCATTGACGGTTCTCTTAGATTTTCGTTTTGGTAGACAACATACCTGAGTTTTATGAAATGTCCCTGGAAAAAATTGGGACATGAGTCTGGTTTTCCATTTGACTTGTTGAATCAAAAATAGGCATGGTGAAGTCACCACAATTCTTAGAAATCTTTCACTTGGTAGAAGCTGGGACCAACTTTTATTTCCATGGTTCCCTAACCTAGCTGTGGTGCCTTTGGCAAGCCACTTACCATCACTGGGCTGAAGCTGTGGCATCTGAAAATGATGTCACTCACCGGTGGTTACGAGGAGTAAATGGAATCCCAGAGGTAAAGGTCTTCAGCACAGCACTAGCATATTGTACATTCTTAATAATGATACTCTATCTGACATGGGAATCAAACAGCAAGGAAATCTACATGCAAACAAAATAACCAAAGCACACTCAACTTAGTTTGCTTCGGTGTTTGTGTTATGTCAGTATAATATGCAAACATTGGAACCAAATGATGAGGCAAGTCAGAGACAACCAGCATCCTTGAGCAGCAAAGCCTAGGCCACCCACTTTGCTAAGTCTGGCACTTCTGGGCATGCTTACTACATGCAATAAATGAGAGTCTAACCATTACTTCTTCATGGAGTCTAGGGAAAAGTTCAGGTAGATGGTACGTTTATCTAATGCTTTGACCACCCTCCGGAGAGTTTCTGAGCTCCTCATTTCTGTCGGCACATGGCTGCATGCCACTTCTTCCATTTGGCTCTCTGCTGTTGTAGCTGCTTGTGAGCTAGCCTAATTGCTACAATTAGCAAAATTAAATGACTCATTACATTTTTATCCAATTCCACCCACATGCTGCAGTTTTACTTTCGAATGGGTAATGATCCTGTTGAGGCTGTCCATCACAAGAATCTTGCAATGGGCCTATTTTCAGGAGAGCAACTGGAAAAGTCCTATCGCCAGAAAGCTTTGTCGTTACTTACGCGACTTCAGGTGTCTGAGAGGGGTGAAAGGATGTTACCTGGTGTTTAGATTATCTCCCATCTGGGTACAGGTTGGGGAAATAGACTCAGAAATGGGGACTAAAGTGAAATCACCTGTTCCTAATCATGTAGAAGCATCAAATGTTGGGTAGCAGAGGGCTGTCATGAGTCAAAGCTGGCAGAGGCGACAACTTTGTTTTCAAAAGTGACGCTGGACTACTAGTCAAAGGGATGGAAAATGATCTGTGTCCATCACTAAGCTTATGATAAGGTCCACCTCAGTCCTGCTGCGTTGTCAGCCTCTGCCTCCCCCGAATCCCCACAGTCAGATTCTGAAAGACAGTTGGAACTATTTTAAAAGAGGCTTTAAGGAATTCTCCTTGGAAACATAAAAATGCAGGCATCTAATCAAAGCTTTATATAGAAACAGTCATGGCTAACGGCAAAGATATGTGGTGAATGCAAAGGAGCACATATTTAGTCTAGAAGGTGGTTCATTAGAAGAAGTTCTCTGGATTCTTGTCTAAACATTGTGTCATCACTCGCTTCCACCTAGTAGCATCGGGTGCATTTGAAAGTGACTGCATCACCTTACTCAACTCTGTGTGGACATAAGGGTTTTCTCTGGCTTAGTCCAATGCGTTCCAGGAACTTCGAAGTGACACAAAACCGCTCTATTAAGCCACTTAAAGAATGAGTTGCTTAAGGAGGATAAAGTTCACTCAAGTCAAGAAACAAGGAATTGGATGTCATATAGGCCTGGACTGTAAAGACAGTTCATTTTAAACAAGGAATAAATAGAGGGCTCTTGTCTAAAAGGTCACATGTCAATATGTACCACTTCCAGTGCATTAAAGAACAAAATGTACTTTATCCTTGTCATCTATATGTTATCAACATACCTATAAATGATTTCAAAAAGTCATGGAGATTTAAGCTATTTCCATGAATTTCTAAATTTGTGTCTGTATTTGTGTATATATACTAATACGAGTGTCTGTCTGCCTGTCTGTGTCTGTGTATATCTCGTGTGTGTGTGTGTATGTATGTGTGTGTGTGTGTGTGTGTGTGTGTGTGTGTGTAAGGACGTATGTCATGGTGTGAAGTGGATGTCAAAGGACAGCTTTGTAGAGTTGGTTCTCTCCTTTTGACATTACATGGATTTCAGGGTTCAAACTCAGGCCATGTTTGCATCTTTGTGCACTGAGTAGCTTTGCTATTGAGGCAATTTAAAGGCACAAAACTCCAAAAAGCTATCATCTATCTGTCCGTCTGTCTTCTTAATGTATATATGTGTGGGCAATCACATGCCATGTCATGTATGTGGAGGTCAGGGGACAACTCAACAGAGTTAGTTCTCCCTTCTACTATGTGGGTTCTGGGGACTGAACTCACGCTATCAGGAGTTCGGGATTAGTGGCACCTTGGCCTGCTAAAACATATTGTCAGTCCACATCATTTCACTAGTGCATGAAGTAAACTGTGTGCCTAGGGAGTCACCATTTTACATTTAACTGTATCCTTGGATTACAATTATCTTCAGAAGATCTGTGTAAATTGTCTGTTGCTAACACGAGTTATAGAATCTTAAAATCTTGGTAAGGGAGTTTATTTCATCTGTTGTGTTAGTATTCATCACAAATGAATTGTCACAGAGTGTCTGAAAAGCAGTTGCTGAAGTGGACAAGATACAGTTAAGCAGGATAATGTTAGTATGTAGGGAAGGTACAGGACATAATTTCTTGGAAATCAGACTTTGATAAGCATGGAAAACTGCTTTTCTTCCACACAAATGAAGTCTCAGCATGGTTAAGATGTATGTCTGTGTGTTCTTTAAGTTGGGATAATTCAGAAATACTAACTGGAGAGGTTTTTTTCTCTTTAGAAAACATCACCATCCCACACAATGACTACCAGAAGATAGTAAGATCATCCTTTTAAGTGATTCAAAGTGGATCAGGCCCAGGCAATCTCAGCCCAAGATAGAGTCCCTCATTTCCATTTGGATGCCAGCCATTGCTAACCCTTTTTGATTATTTTCCAGCTACTCTGTGCAGAGCTTCATGTCAGATGAAAATAAACTTTTAGGAAGAATTAAAATTGTTCATTTGTGCATTGATGATGCCTCGTTGAATCCTGCCTCTTAACTCTGGAGCCTGTGTTTATGTTCTACAGCATTCTGCTGACAGTGTGTGCATTCTGAATCAGAACAGCAAAGGGTGATTTTATGATTGCTGCTTGCTTTTCTTACATTTGAGAGTCACAACTGTAACATGGTAGGTCACTCATTTCCTTAATAAGAATTCATCATTCACTGAAACATCATGATCTTCGCATAAGTCAGATCCAAGAATATTTACAGTATTTGGGAGATAACTGGAAAGTCAAGCTTTTTACATCTGTATGAGTACCTATGTTACCATCAAGACAAAGTATAGAACATTATCTTCTATTTATATCTCAGCTGTTTTAACCCTTAGCATGTTACATGTGAGATCAAGTTGAAAAGTAACTTAGAACTTACGTGATCAAAGAGTGGATGCTCCTTTTGGCTTGTTTGATTGGACACTATTACGAGGTTAACTGTTATTCACTCACAGAATCAGAGCTGCAGACCACCTGGGAAAGTCAGTCTCCAAAGCTCATCAGTTAAAAGTTGTCTTAGAACTAATGAAGTTAATAGCTCATGGTTCTGCACACCAGCAAAGTATCTGTCCAAATTGTTGTGATTTCCTTCTATACTGGAATGGGATGTGTTCACCATTTGCTGAGAAGCCGTGTCTTCCTGAAGCTTTACTGGTAGCAAGGTAGTATTTCTTCATTCCAACAGAAGATTAGTGTATTGTAGTGGAAATCTTGCTTGAAAGATCAAATCATTGAGTATTAGGAAATATGTCTGATAAAAATCGTCTGTCTTAAAAAATTGCTTTGGGGCTTTGTACCAAAAGAAGTCCTAGGTTGAGCCCTCTGTCCCCTCCTGTGGATGTCACTTTGGGGACCACAGTCTTTGGATGACGCATCCATTATGGGTGGTGGCTCTAGAACTTGACTATTTTGAGTGAATATTTAAATGAAACTGACTTTCTTCCTTCTCTTTTTTTGTGACTTGACTGATCTTTAATATATCAGCTGGGTTAGTATAAAACCAGGGAAGGAAGTTTAAGACATCTTCCACTGTGGTCAGGTTGTTCTAATGGATAGATGAAAGAAATCACTCACATCTTGGATTTCCTGGGAGACACTGATCAGTCTTCACAAGCCCTTTCTAGCTAGGCCACTTCCCTCTTTACTTGATGCTCTCATAGCACCCTGGTCAGGTTGCTGGGCCGCCAAATGGCAAAAAGTAAGGTAATCTCTCCAGGGACAAGTGTTTTCAATCTGCTGAGGCAGGCTGATGGATTTGTAGACTGGATTCTGATATCCCAAGTGAATATGACATTTAATGTATTTTAAACAATTCCAAGTCTATAAAAAAAAGCAACAATGCCTATATGTACACCCTATATTTTTATTACAAAAATATTGAAATAATCCATGAGTTATTCCACTCTGCACCAACTATAAAAAAATACTATCAAAGTTTGACCGGCACTTTTAATGCAACAAAAAGCACCATGACCAAGGACACTGAGAACAGAAAGCGGGAATGTTTACTTGCTGTACGGAGGTATTTAAACTCAGAAGCTTGTTGAAAGAGAGCGACTTTACAGATGATTTGAATACAAATCTTAGCTGATGGAGTGGTAAGCCCTCAAGCAGTCCAGGCAGTTTCCTTAGAGCATACACATTGCATCTGTATGCTCCCTCTTGTTAAAAGGTGTCCCAAAGTCTCTAGGAGACACATCACTTTGACCTTGGATGGCAGAAGGTAAGTCTGTACACAGCGGACAACCTGATCATTCTTCTCTTGTCTGCTTTGGGATACCACTTATTCTCTGCTTTCGGGGATTCCATATCAGTTCTGTGATTGGACAAAGTTTGGCACTAGAAAGATGTGGCATATGGTTTCCAGAATCACACCTGCTCACTATGCTCATTCTGCACCTGGAAACAGCCTCTCCCTCTCCTGTGGCTCTGTGGGTGCATTCCAATATGAACCACACACACCTTAGAAGCTGACTCTCATTTTGTCCCTCCCCCAACTGCTCTTTGCATATAAATTGTATTTTTGCAATTGAATACTGAATCATGATTATCATTTAATTTACATCACGGATATTGAGCTCCTTGGTCTCATCCAAAGCCATACATGTGCTGCATAGGATTTCTGTCATAAAGGATATTCTCAACTGCAAAACCTAAAGTAAAAAACAAATCCTGAAATGTATAGAAAAAGAATCGTTCAGTCAATGCTAGTACACATGTAAACACTTGAATTTGCTGTCTATTTGCTATCCACTGCACAGGCTTCACCACATATACTACTGGTTTCCAAATGAGAAAATGGGTTATGAAATTTTCCTAAGCACTATTGCTTTCTTTCTGGAGTCTGTTTTGAGTTTTGCATCAAGGAAATCACCTAAGCTCTTTTTTGAGATTCATTTTTGTTTTATGTGTATGGGTGTTTTGCCTGCATACATGTCTGTGCACCATGTGTGTGCAGTGACTGAGGAGGCCAGAAATGGGCATTGGATCACCTGGTCCTGGAGTTGCAGGTAGTTGTGAGCTACCAAGTGGGTGCTGAGAATCAAACCTGGGCCTTTGGAAGAGCAGTTAGTGCTCTTAACTACTGGGTTGTCTTTCTAGGCCCACCTCAACTCTTTAGATAGAGGGGTGGAGGTGGTGGTGGTGGTGGTGGTGGTGGTGGTGGTGGTGGTGGTGGTGTGTGTGTGTGTGTGTGTATGAACGTATTTATGCAAAAATCAGTAAACTCCATCAAAATACCTTAATGATTAGAGGCAACAATTTTTTTTTTTTATAATAATGGTACCCTCCGGTGAATGTGCTCCAAGCCTGGGCTGGAGGAGTTTGGTAACAACAGTCATACTAAGCTGGCATTGCCCCTTTAGGTGGAGTAAGAGACTCTCAGCACTGCTGGCTTGAATAGACACCAGCAGCAGGCGGTCAGCTAATGGAAGATCAAACCATACCATGACAATGTTGGGACTAAGAACATATAGCTCATTGCCCTACTCTTATATTAAGTGTCATTATTGCCACAGCCCTGCTGTCATCTCTTCATATGGACATTGTGGCTTCTTCTGTTTTATAAAGTGGTTTCGTACTCCAGCCTCTCCTGAATAAGGGCATCGTCTTTGTACTGCAGCCTTGGAGGAGATGGGGAACATTCAAAGGCTAATATGGCCTTTCTCAGGCTTCGGTCCAACACATGTCTCTCCCACGCTGGATATCTATTCCTGAACAGGTCAATTTTAATGACCGATTCTTCAATCCGTGGTGGTCGAGATGATGGGGTGGGTGGTGCAGTTGGTCTCACCTGAAAGACAGGGACACATCCATCCCTCTCTGCAAATTTCTGATCACGGTCACTGGCAACACTGCGGTTGTTGGAGATAGACCGTAGTGTACTTGTGGCCACTTCTGGAGGCAGAGAGAAGGCAGTAGCAGGGTCATCACAAGCACAACTTGGTGACTGCCCAAATCTGGGCCCATTGGGATGGAAGAAGGCATAGTACATCAGCATAAAAACAACGCCTGTTAAAAAGCTGCTGAAAACCACGCACAGTGCTGGGATGGCAAATGCATCCGCAATCTGGGGAGCTTTGTAGAGGTACCAGAGTGCACTCAAAGCTGTGTTTTCCAAAAGGATTACAAAATAGTAAATGAACAGCCTGCAGCGTGTCCTGCCTTCCTTGACATTGAACCAGCTGAAGATGTAGATGATTCCCACCACCATGTCGAATACAATCTCTTCCCATTTGGTGATACAGAATTCTGTCTCACAGTGGACAATCCAGAAGGTCATGATGCACCAGTGGAGGACAATGAATATCCCAAAATACAGCTGGAAAACTGAAGCAAAGAGGGCGAACGTGATGACTCTGGCAGCGATGGTGAAGAAGTGCCAACAGAACTGGATGATGACGGCCATGTAGCTGATAGGCTTTTTGTCATCTCGGGAGTCCCGAAGAGCCTTCTGGTAGGAGGCTAGGGCCCACGCCAAGGACACAAGGGAGGCTGCTGCTGTGAAACCTACAAAGGCAAACAGGAAGACATCTGTCAAAAGTGAGAGGCAGTAATGGTATAGGAAGACAAGTCACATGGGCCTGGTGGCTTGGGACAGGCTAGCTAGACTTCATCAGAGGCTATGAATGTCTTTGAGTTTTAACTGGATTAAACAGCCATAAGGAAATCCTAGAAACTGTCCTCCATGAAGGGACTAAGTTCTGAAAAGGCCTGAGTTAATGGAACCTCAAAGCCAGCACAAGCTCTGAGACAGGGACATGTGGTGGGACTAGCTTTCAGTGTGCTCGTGTAAGTCGACCAAGGACCCTGCTTTATTTAGTGGGGGAAACAGCCACATGCTCTTGCTTCAACTTAAAAAAGTGTTACCTTCATATGTGTTGCTTGCTTTTGAAACCAGTGTCCTTGTTTAAAAGTGTTAATCTTTGTCAGCTTGGAGAGTCATTCTGTGTTTAAAGGGGACAGTAATGAAAGAAACCAGATGGACTAGCAGATGCTTTCCTTTTTTGCTTTCAAGCAAGAATGATGTAGCTCATTTCCAAAGGTAGCTTACTCCTTCTTTACGATAAGGACCAGAGTCCATGAAACAAGTTTGCTCTTATTCCTGGTGACACCTGGTGTGCTGTTCCTCTGAATGTCACCCAGCATTTTCCCTGCAGATTTTGCACCTGCTTACTGCCTCATCCTTGAAGGAAGAAATGTCTGCTCACTGTCATTTCACTCTTTGCTTTTCATAAATTAAAAATTGTGCAGAAATGACTTTCATGATTTTATCATCGGCTCCACTTAGCTAGTACTCTCTCAGAAAGCAAGATCTTTCCATTGATTTCCTACACTCTGGCATTGTCCACTGTGTCTCAAAGTGCATGTGCATGGTCCAGATGTGGACACTCTTAACCTAAAATCATGGAGCCTCTCAGGAGAGACCTCTTTTGGAGAATTGTGTTTCGTCAGTCTGTGTGGCAGCTGGCTTGCTTCAGGAGCAATGACAAATTTTTTCCAAGACTAAGAAGGTCTCGTGGCTTGGAAAGTTCCCTTGACAGGCCTGGCACGAATCATAGATGGGTTGTACCTGGTTTTTCTTCTTCTTTGGGAACAATAGAAGGTATACAGAATTGGTACTTTTCTTTAAAAAAATACTTTTATTGAAGAAACCTTACTTTCTCCCACTCATGAGAAATGAATTTTAAAAAAGCAGCTACGATGGAAAAGAATAAAACTGGTTGGGAAAACAAACAAACAAACAAACAAACAAAATCAAACACTGAACTCCAGCAATCACTTCTTACCAATCCTCTTTGAATGCCCCCAAATATTTATAAAATGTAGTTGCCAGCAGTCACTTCTCACCCTTCCCCCAGTGAATCAAGCAGAAATCCTTTGGTTTTATGGGCACTGGGACCTTCAAGTTTTTTTTTTTTTTTCTAGCCAATATACACATTGCTAATTACTAAAAGTCTTACTCAGCTATGAATGGTCAGAGGTCACCACACAAAGGAGTTTATGATAATTCCATTACTGTGCATTGGAAAACATCAATTACAGAAAATTCAGGAATGAAAAAGAGAAGAAAGAAAAACCCAAAACAAACAAACAAAAACAAACAACAAACCGGAGAAAGTGAAAGGATGGAAACAAAAGATGACAAGCTCATATATGTGACCAATATTCTTATGATGAGTTTGTGATCAAAGAACAAAGGTCGTGCCCTTTTAATCTCAGCATCTGTACTGCCCAGTCTAGGAGCTGCTCTTCTCTCTTCATCTGTACCATTTGCAGAATTACAGCCTGCATCACCCTTTTGCTTGAGATGGTTCCACATAGGCTAGCCCCAAGCTCCAATCCTCCTGCCTCATTCCTGAGCCCTGGGATGACTATTTGCTGCAAGCAGCCTCTTGAATAAATTGCACTCTCTATATTTTTTCCCAAGCCAAACTGTATCAAGCTTTATTAAAGATACTTTCCATAAACAATCATGGTTTTTCAGGTAAGACATGGGAAGACAACCATTAACAGTATACAGTTTCCAAACTCCCCTCTTGTATAGACCACCAAAATCAAAAAGCCACTATAAAACCCGATGAGTTTTCATTTGATGCTTTGAAAAGGGGGAGAGCTTAGAGCAAGGGCTGACAGTTCACACTGAGGATGTTTTTTAACAACTTTTCTCAAGTCGACCCTGACTTTCAGGAAATGAAGTGAACAGGGAAGAAGTATCAATCTGACAATCCACAATCTTTTATAAAAGGAACCGCTGCTCTTTTGAGGACACTCAATGATACCACTGCAAAGTCCATATTGCCCAACAGACCCACAAAACCAGTTCTAGGGGTTATATTCCAACAGGTGTCTGACTTGAAGGGAGTTAAGTCTATGTTGATGGTACAGGGAAGGAAGACACAGAAATGAAATTAGAGTTTCCCCACACAAGGCATTTTGTGCCACAGTGGTCACATATGTCAACACCAGGATGTCTCTCCTGAGAGCCAAGAGGAGTCTTTCAAAATTATCAGGGAATGATGCTTTCCAGCTTGGGAGACATTTTGTTAGTGACACATGGTTCTTCCCCACTAAAACAATCAAGTGTTCTGTGTGCTAACAACATAGCTTTTAAAAAAAGTAAAACAAAATTCTGCATTTTTATAAAACTTGATAAAAAATAGTATTTCAAACTGTGCAGTCACCAGAAGTACACAGTTATCAAAAATACACACATTTCACTTGGCATCTCCAGCACCATCAGTCTGTTTTGGCGTCTCCATTTTCTGCAAGATTATTCGCATCCTTAACCAGCATCAACTTTCCCCTTCTTCCTCTTGGGTACCTCCTCCCCCTTCTTTGCAGGGGCCTTGTTAGGCTTGGGCTCTGGCTTTGGAAGAGCAGGTTTAGCAGACAACCTTGCAGATCTTCTGTGGCTCATCCTCCACCTTGGCTTTATCTCCTTTAGCGTCCCCTTTGGCCTTTCTTTGGGGCATGAACTTGGGGATGCAGCAGTGCGGGGGGGGGGGGGGGGGGGGGGGGGGGGGGGGGGGGGGGTTTAACGGCCCTTCCAGGGGTCGGACTTTTGCTTCTCCACGCTGCTGCTCCAACACTGTATACTTTTAAGGTAGCGCCTGAGCTGCTGCTGTGCTGTGCTCTTTCCACATGCTAGCTCCCTTTAGAAAGTACTCAAGCGCAGAACATCTGGGAAAGACAATAGCTTATGGCCAGGCTCCTGCAGACCAAAGACACCTTGGATCTGACCAGGGAAGTTGTTACTTGTCTGTTTTCTAATGCTTGGAAGTGTGTTGGACATTCTTAATCCAAAAAGTAAAAAACCCTAAAGCTCCAAAATCCCAAAGATTTGGTGTGCTTACATGACACAGCCAGGCAGAAAGCTTCCTACCTGGCCTCATGGAATGGATCCCAGTCAAAGAGCAGTTGCACTAAAAATACTAGGTAAGGTGACTTTTAGAGCCTGTTGCAAGGTATATACAAAATGAATGAATTTATGTTTGACTTGAATCTCATATTTAAGAATGTATAAATGTATCTAAACAAGTATTCTGAATTCCTGCACCATAATTCAAAATTTGAAATACTTTCAGTTCTCAATTTTTTAGATAAAGTCTCAACTTATAACTGAAGCACAGAACATCATAAAGTTACCTGTTGCCAATGGAAAGGAATAGAAAATTAATTGCTTCCAAAGTTCCCTGTAATCTTTATGAGCAGTTCTACCCGTGTGACACACTGGGAATTGAGGGGGACAGGCTGGAAGTACAAAAAGGACACTTTGACTTGCCTTGATTTCTGCATACATGACTTACAGTTAAGAGGCTCTATGCTGGAGAGAAGTTCATGTCAATCTTGACTCTTTTAGCCATGAGTGGGTTTCTCTTTTTCAGTTTTTCCTATTGATTAATTTTGTTTCAAAAAAATGTGTTTTTAATTGAAATAGAACTAAATCACTTTCTTTCTTCCCTCCATCACCTCCCAGCTACCATCCTTTGAGCCCTTCTCATGACTCCCCCACTCTCAAGTTGATAGCTCTTTTCATTGTTACATTCATATGTATGTATGCATGCATGTATGTATATATGCATAGATGTGTATGCATAAATATATTGCACATTTTTTCATTTAGTAGTAAACTATTACAAGACAAGACAAATACAGATCTAATCAGAAGTTCAAGACCATTTTAGACTTAAGCTCCCTAGTGTTAATTTCTTTTTCTAGCTCTGCTGTCAATAGCCCAGGTTCATTTCTTATAAATTATAATAGATCAGTTAAAAATTCACACCCACCATGGAGTGCTTAGAGTATATATTCTTTATGAAAATAACATCAGCTTGGTTCTTTGCAATGCTAAAGTAGATTTTCTTCTTCTGAGGAATAATTCTCTTGTACACTGTAAAGATTTGTCACTTGAATTGGTTTAATAAAATGCTGATTGACCAGTAGTCAGGCAGGAAGTATAGGCAGGATGACCAAGTTAAGGATGATGGGAAGGAGAAGAGCAGAGTTGGGAGTCACCAGCAGATGCAGGTGAAGCAAGATGAGAATGTCATACTGAGAAAAGGTACCAAGCCACATTGGCTAAACATAGAAAAGAATTATGGGTTAATTTAAGTGTAAGAGCTAGTTAGTAATAAGCCTGAGCTACTGGCTGAGCATTTATAATTAATATAAACCTCTGTGTGGTAATTTGGGAAGCATCTGCTGGGTATTTGGGAGTTTCTGGCATGAAAGAAACTTCTGCCTAAACCCATGTGCATCCCATCCATAGATTCTGTGGATTGTATGGCCCCTTACCCTAAAGTACATCAATTCATACTTACTACAGTAGGGATATTTTCTTCCATAATCACAGTAAAGCCATCACCTTCAGCCAACTTCACATCAATACAACACATTATACTCACCTACAATGAGTTTTCTACTTTTGTCAAACGATGTCCACTCTTGGTTGAATCTAGGATAAGGTTTTATACTCAGTAGCTCCCTCGATTTAGTTTTCTTTAGTA